GGTCCGGAACAGAGTGGCCACACATGGCCATAACTTTGGCAGGCTGGGAGGGTGGGAGTGGGGGCTGTAGTGAGTGAGTGTACCTTTTATTGAGTATTATTAGAGGAACAAAAATAGTTATAGAAAGCAAAAAATACATTTAGATTGTCTTCATAGTTAACTATGCATTTACATACACATACAGCCCAAGTATCCCTTATCAGAAAAGCTTGGGAATCAAAGTGTTTTGGACTTCATTTTTTTTTTTTTATTCTGGAATACCTGCACCCCCTTTTTCTCATCACTGTCACCCAGTGGGCTATGTGCAACTATGTTTTGCATGCCTGCATTCTGAAAAGAATCCTTTGCACGAGGTCAGGTGTAGAATTTGCTGATTGTGGCATCATGTTGACAGAAAAAGTTTGTGAAGCATTTCTGTTTTCAAATTTTCAGATTAGGGATGCTCAGCCTGTTCATGCCATTTCTTAAAAAAACAAAACTAACTGTCCGAGGTTGCATGTGCTCACCGGAGAGCACACGGAGCCCCCAGTGCGGTGTAGTCACACCACAGCACTGTTCCCGCCGTGTCTCCGTCCTGCCAGGATCTGGGCCATGCACACGCACGAGCACGGCATGTTTTCCAAGTTGCCGGAGGCAGGGCAGGGGCCGCCGTCGGCCACTCGACTGCCGCACTGCAGGCTGGTCCTCTGGCCCTCTGGGTAGTCTATTCGGTGAGACGCGGTTCTTCTCTTCTCCCTCAGTTCTTCAAACATGACTACCTTTCGGTCTATTTACACAGCCTCAGGTCTTCACTAAGTTCAGTGCCTGACTTTCCTCAGGAAATATTTCTACTGATTCTTTTTTTATGGTGTACAGGTTAAACCCAGCTGTTTCTTTGTGAGTAATATGATTTTTTATTTTAAAACCAGGATCTCACTGCACACAATTCCCCACCCTCAGCCTTCTGAGAAGCAAGACGACAAAACATGTGGCTGATCTTGCTTTTAGTGTGGCCTCGGCTGGGAGGAGCAGCATCAGCCAGGGCTCACAGCTGCAGCGGGGCCTGCCTGCCTCACGGCTTTGCGTTAAACACCGGGTGGGTTACGTAATACAATGCGGTATCCCTGGGAATCAGGTTCTCCCGTTGCTGTTTCTCACAGTTTCTTCCTTTTCTTGCTCTAATTTGTTACAAGGCAAATGCACTTGCCAGAGAGAGGACGCACCCCCAATGGGACACGGTCACACCAGACCCCTTCTCCTCCACTGCTCCGTCCTGCTGGGGTTTGGGCACACAGGAGCAGCATGCCTTCCAAGTTGCCAGGGCCAGGATTCACGGTGCCCAGTAAACCATGTGGGATCTAGCGCCCTTAACCAGCAGACCAAAGAATCCATTTTTTAAAAGAATTATTTATTTATTATTATTTTTAAATTGAACAGAGAGAGACAGAGAGGAAGAGAAAGTGAGAAAGCAAGCCCCCAGGTCCAGCATTCGAACCGTGGTCAGCCATGTGGGAGTCCAGCACCTTAAACATTGTGCCACCTGCCGGCCCCAAAGAATCAATTTTATCAATAGCGAAATATAGTTTATAACACTGCATGCCATTGCCCAAACTGATAGTAAGTATTTAAACAACTGGATTTTACAAACGGATTTCAAACACCAAACAGCATACAGTATAAATAAGCTTTGAAGATAGTGACGCATCTAACAGCAAGTACGAGAAAAGTGGCTTCTCTTAGTTATGTCTTAATAAGACACTTACCAATTTTGAATGGCTTTAAGTTCATCATAATAAAAAAGAAAGCATATTAAACTAAAAAACTTACCCTAAAAAAGAAAACTTAGAAAATAAAAAGAAAAGAAAACTTTTGGGGGACCAGCATTTGGAGTAATGGCTGTGTTGCTGGACTCCCACGTAGGCATCTCCAGTTCGAGTCCCAGACCCGATGGCTCAAACTCATGCCGGGTGCATGTGCATCTGTACCCAAGATCCCAAGAGGAGAATGGAGGAGAAGGAATTGCAGTGTGGCCATCCCCCCGGGGGGTGATTTCTCACTTTCTCTCTCTCTGTTTTTGGGGAATACACATGCCTTCTAGTCAAAAACAAAAAACAAACAAACAAATAAACAAAAAAACAAAACAAAAAAAACCCTCTCCAAAAATAAATAAACAGAAAACTTCTGGGGCTAGTAAGGACATACTGGTTAGGGTGCTGGATTCCCACATGGCTGAATCTGGTTCAAGTCCTGAACCCCGTGGCTTGAAAACCATGTGCATGCCCAAAATCCTGAGAGGAGGATGGAAAAGGGACTGGAGCATGGCATCCTCCCTGGGGCTGATTCCTCACTTTCCCTCTTCCTGTCTCTCTCTGGCAAGCACACGCATCCTATGGCAAAAAACCTACAAAGAGATAACTTTTAGAAATCACACTGTAAAAGATCAAAGCGGTTTGATGCAGTCCTTCTACTTCTCCAATAACTATAATTCTCCCTATCTGCAAAAGCGAGTTCATGACTTACAATCTAAGAAATAGTAAGTTCAATTACTTTGCCTTTCTGTTTAGAAATACTAACTCCCGAGTATATTCATTTCAGATAGTGAAGAGCTGAATTGAGAACTTCACAGGTGGTGCACAATCACAGGCGAGCTCTCCCCCACTGCCACTGAAGGGCACACCTCGCGGTCAGGAAGCTCTGCCGCACAGCAGTGGCCTAAGACCAGGCCTACGGCAAAGGAGCGTGCCGTGTCCAGAGGGCTGCAGGGCTCACTGCGTTCCCACAGAATGGGGATTTAGGCAGAGGCACACAGAAAAAGTATCCTGCTTTGTTCATTTCTAAATTTCAAAGTAAAATCTAACAAACTCAGTTAAGGATAAGAGGAAAAGGAATGACCACCTGATGAACAGGTGCTTTACATACATCATCCACTCTATCCTCGTGTGTTTAAAGGCCACACTCACTCTGTGTTACAGAACAGAGACACTGCCCAAGGTCACAACGTGAGTCAAGAGGTAGCACTGGGTAGATCAGAGTCAAGGCTCTTTGCACTCTGGGGCAGTCACCTCTGCTCAGTTCGCCTTCTCCCGACTGAGGCTTTCACACTGTGTCTCTCACAGCGTAAGACAAAACCAGAAAAGGCAACGGGGTTAAACTCTCAGTCATTAAACGATCACTGTCACTTCACTTGTTCAAAATCACACCACTGGGACCCAGCAGTTAGCGTAATGGCTATGTCGCTGGACTCCCACGTAGTCGACCGCGGTTCGTGTCCCAGACCCGGTGGCTTAAAACTCACGCCAGGCGCGTGTGCGTGCGTGCCCAAGATCCCGAGAGGAGAATGGAG